CCCCAAAACCCCAAAACCCCAAAACCCCGGAATGCATTTTTGTAACAAAGAAAAAAATATTCTATCAATTGATATATTTTTAGCAATTTCTTAAAGAATTATAATATAAGTAAATTGTAATGGGAGGTTTAGCAGCTAAACTTGTCTTTAAAAAGGGCAAGGACAAATTTTAAACTTAGCATGATTCTCTTTTAGACATCGGAGCAACAGATATCGATGGAAATAGAATCAATAAACTTGGAGACATACTTAGAAATAAAAGATGTATTCTTGTGACCAATGTAGCGTCTAAGTGAGGATTGACAGATAAGCACTATACTCAGTTTGTAAGGCTTTACAAAGAGTATCGTGACTAGGGTTTTGAGATCCTAGCTTTTCCTTGCAACTAGTTCATGAGCTAGGAGCCAGGCTCAAATCAAGAGATAAAGCAGTTTGTGCGAGATCTCTATGGAGGTGAGTGGCCATTATTTGAGAAATCTGACGTTAATGGCTAAAACAGTAATGAAGTTTTTAAGTTCCTCAGATATCACTCAGAACTCAACAATAAAGAAAAGAAAGAAGTCAAGGAGATCCCCTGGAACTTCGCTAAATTCTTGGTTAATGAAGATGGACACGTTATTTCTTATCATAATCCAAGAGTAGAACCAATTAATATGGTCAAAGATATAGAAGCATTACTTTACCAGGGTTGCTGAGTTAGTAGTCCTCACCAATATAAGAACAATTATTGGGTGAATTAGAGAATGAATGCATTTATTTATTGCTGAGATAAGACTTTCAGAGCTTAGAGTAAAATGATGATGATATGAGCTCTAGTTAGAAATCTATTGTGACTTGAGTTCCTGAAACCAAATGGAGGGTACTTAAGGATAATTAAAGATTCCTATTATTGCTCATATTACATCAACACTCTTTGCTTAATAAGTTCATTAAGTATTTAATTTGACTTCTTGATTCTTAATTGATATATGCATACAATATTTTCTATTTATGGGGTTTTGGGGTTTTGGGGAGATCGGAAGAGCG